GGCGAGCGCGCCCCGCGGTCTCGGGCGCCCCGCCCCCGGGGGCTCTGCGAGGTGCTGAATCCGAGCCCACGCCCTTGGACCCAATCTGGGTCCCCACCGTACAAGCTCCCTGCTGCCCTGGGGCCAGGCCTCCAGCAGGTAACTAATGGCGGGTCTCTAGTCTCCAAGGCCCTGGTTGGCTCCCCAGGGTAAAGAGGGCGGCGGCGACGGCAGGAAAGGAAGGTGGCGGAGGAAAAGGCCCCTGGAGCAGAAAGGTTCGGCGTGGGCCTGTGGATGTGACTGTGGTAGTGGCCTGGTTTGGTTTTCCCACCTGTGAAATGGGGACAATTAACACCCCTCCCATGATCGTCTTAAGGACAAAATGCACCACAAATGTGTTGTCTCGGGAAGCTAGGCACCACCTGCCCTCCTGTACTAGGGTCCAGGCCTGCCCCCAGCCCTGTCCCATTACCTGCACCCCAAGGGCCTTCCTGTGGGTTCTCTTCAGGCCCAAACAGCTACGAATGGTAAGCAGTCCTTTCTCTGGGCTCTACTGTCCCTCAATGTCCCTTTTTGACATCAGGGCTTGCCCAGTATTCCCCCCACTCCCTGCCTCAGTTGCATTCCCAGTGAAGGCCCTTGCTTTTGCCCCCCACAGCTGGCAGCTCCCCCTCTAAGACTTGGGGCCTTTGCCTGCACTCCCACCTTCTGTCTTAGGTTACGCTGCTGCTCCCTCCAGCCCTGGCAGGTTTGGGCTCCAGTTCTACCTGTTCTCCCTGCTCAGGCTCAGCTTTGAGGGTTACAGATCCTCTGGCCTAACCTCACTGGCTCCTTGGGCCAATCACAGGATCTGCAGAGGCTCTGGCCTGCCCTTCAAAGCCCGAGGGCCCCCATGTACAAACCTGGGCTGCCAATGGCTGTGCTGGTCCCATCCTGCAGTCAATCCCTCCAGCTCCAGCCACACCACCACCTTGGTACCTAGGACTGAGGGCCCTACCTGTTTCTCCCCTCCTGGCCCCTAGGTCCTCCCCACAGCCACCTGCCACTGTTGTCAGGCTTCTCCCTAGAGCATGTGCTTGTTACAGGTAGGTTGGGTGGGAAGGCCAGGGGTGTGTCTTCCAGAACCTTCTGCTGAAGAACAAAGAGATCTTGGCCCCGGTCCGTCAAAGTCATATTAGGGAGACCAGGAGCCGAGAGAGAAGGGTAGTCGTGAGTCTTGCTGGCAAAGGGGCAGGGATGAGATAGCCCCCAGGGCCAGGTGCCTACTTCCTCCCAGTCCCTCCCTTGTGTACAGGACGGACATCATGGGCACTCCTAGGTCTTGCTGAAGCTCCATCCCACAGGCGATTGATACGGAGAGGTCCAGAGATCCATGCCAAGGGCAGGGTCTCTGGCCAGAGGGAAAGCAGCCAGCCAGTATCCAGAGTGGCCCCCGGCAGCCACAGCTTTAGTGTCAGCTTGGAGGACGGGCTGAGGGCCTGGAGAAGTGAGGCCACCCAGGCATTACTCAGACACCCCGTCCTGGGCTGAGGGGCTCAGCGCTGGCTTGCCCACGTGCCCACACTGCTTGTGTGGCTCTGGAGCTGCCACTGGTCTTCCCTTGGGATCACAGGGGTATGCAAAGCTCCCAGGCCTCCAGAGAGTAATCACAACACAGCTTCGTTAGCAGGATCAGATGTTTATAAAATAGGTGGACGGGAACAAACCATGGCAGAAACCACCTTCCCAGCAAAAAACCCGAGTCAAGTGCACTTTGCCTGTGACCCTCTTCCTCAGGCTGGCCCTCAGCACCCCAGGAACACCGTCAGAGGGGTCAGACATGAGGGCCCGAGGGCACTGGTTGGACTCTTCCCCCCACCCCATCTCTCCAGCTCCAGCACGGACGGCTTGAGAGTGCTAAGTAAACGCTGCATGTGGTCCGAAGCCCCCTGGTCACAGACTAGCCCTTCCATCACACTCTGCCCCCAGTGGCATCTGGGGAGCACAGGAAAGCCTCTGACCCCATGCTTCCAGCACCCCCCCACCTCGTGTGCCTGCTCTGAGTGTGTGACACGTCCAATCACAGGGACACCCATACCCCAGGTGGGATGGGAGCTGCCCCCAGGCAGCTCTCTGGTTGAGGAAACCCAAGGCCCTTGAGGGTGGACCCCAGCAACGTGAGGGAGCTGGGGGAGCTGGACAGAGGACAGGGCGGAGCTCGGTCAGTAAACAGCTTATGAAGCCAGGAAAGGTCCCAGGGGAGGGAGAGAGGAGATGGCCATAAGGCCGGCTTAGTGTCACAATGGAGGACACCAAACCCAGCGGATCTGGCCTCTCAGCCACACATCCACACACAGGCACACACACACACACACACACACACACACACACACACACACAC